TTTTTTTTTTTTTCTTTTTTTTTTTTTTTTTATATATATAAACGTGAAAACGACGACAAAAGTTCAAATTATGGCACAGTAGTGTATCACATGTGATCTCGGGTCTCTTTTTATTTATGTAGTACTCATAAAAAAAAAAAGGCCTCTCTGGTCTCTCTTAAGAATCATGAAATCCATGCGAATCGATTACAATCATGCAAAGCAATCAATCACAGGGATACACCACAGATAATTTATTTTTTAATAGTTATTCTATTACCAAAAATATTTTTTTTTAAAAAAAAAATAAAAACTTTTACTTAAAAGGAGATTCGACAAAAAAATAAATGATTTGCTATTAATGAATGTTTCTTTGATCGACCAAAAAAGATAATCAAAAGAACATTTGACAAGGAAAATTGTTTGTTTATATATTTATATTATAAAACCTTATGCTCGGACGGTTGCCTAAACTTGTTTATGATTTCTCACGACAAACGTATTTGGTTTAGGTTACGAGATTTGTTTTTGTGATTTGTGATTGTGTCCCCTGTTCACAACATATTAAAAATAACCAGTTCAATCTATTATTATACTGAGTTATTCATCAATTATACATGCATCATGCGAAAAGGTTATATTTTATATATATATATTTTTTTTAATGAGAAAATTTTCTTATTCTTGATTGAAAGGAATCATTTAAATTCCTTCATTTAAATTCTTTGAAATGTTCCAATTAGAATATTTGATATTGTAATTTATTATAATATATAAATTAGGTAACAAAACTTCATAGGTATACCTTATACCAAATAATTAAATAATTAAAAGTATTTAACCAGTTTCAACCGGTTTTACCCGGAAATGTTACAATCCGATGCAACCGATAAACACCGATTTATCGGTTGATACCGAAAATGTGTTCGTCGATCAAATACAGTATAATACCCAAAGTATCCCTCATTTTAATTTATCATTTTTTGATAATCGGATAAAAGAATTAATTCTAAAGGGAATTTTTATTTTGAATTGATTATTATAAAAAAAAAAAAAGTTTGCTTATTATCATTACTTCTTATGATTTTTAAGGGGAATTTCCGTAAAGTTCATACTTTATTGTTGCACTAAATACCTTCGCATATCTAAAAGTTTTACTTTACGCCATACGACAGATCCGACAGTTTTAAAAATCAAACACAACTGAATGACGATCTTTTACGTGTTTTTGAATCATTTACTATATTTACTACATTTACTCATTTGTTATTTATAATTATTAAATTGATTATTTCTTGTAAATTTCTTTTGATCCTTTGTTAGAGATCCTAAAGTTGATGAAACTTCATCCCCCCCTACACCGAGATCATATGATTATTGCCTCAAATCCCATCGATCTCGCATTACTTTTACAGCTATTTAATTTTGGTTTAGGGTTGTCAACTATCCTTGTGTCAAAATCATCACGATGCACTTTCTATTTGATAAAAATAAAAATTCTTTTTAAAATTCCTTATAAATCTATTTAAATGATTACAATGATCATTGGTCATTTCCAAATTAATTTATTCGATATTCCTTCTTACAAAATTCTATAAATCCATTTAAAATGAATACAATAATAATATAATGATCATTGATCATTCCAAAATTAATTATGATTACTCGAAATTCCTTTTTTTTTTACAAATTCTAAAATTCCTTTGTAAATCTATTTTAAATAAATACAATAAAATCATTGGTCATTCCAAATTAATCATCATTTATCCCTTAAAAAATTATTTTTTTTTTTTACATCTCATATCAAAAAAAAAAGTGAATATTTAGAATGAAAAAAAAAAAAAAAACCCCTTTCTCCAACTTTTTTTTTAAAGTATTTTATTTTAATCACTTTATAGAAATTTGAAAAACTTTAATTTAGTTATAAACTTTTATTTTTACTAACAGATTTAATGAAAAGAATTATCTTTAATAATAGGTTTGTGAAACTATTTCATTATAAAAAAAAAACAAAAATTATGTTTCATATTATAGTGTTCAATACTTTAGTTATATGAACTTCATTATTCTATATTATTACTATTGATATTTTATATTATAGTTATTTAATGTTGCAGCTTATACTTTACTTATATTTTTCTGAGATTTTTTATATAGATAAACAGATTCAATGGTAGTTACATTAATTAGAATAATGATATTTATTACATAATATTTTAGGGGTAAGGAGGTAAAGAAAAGTCTTAATGTATATAGTGTAATATAAGATTTTATATATTATATATGTAAGAGGTAAGGGGTTATAATTTATAATAAATGAATAAATGTTACTGCCTTTACTATGAATCTATAATTATACCAAATTATTTAACACAAATATAAGATCAGAATTACTTTATCCTTATTTACACTTCCATAACTAGGCAGATCTAGGAGGTATACCAGTACAGTAGTATTCTACAAGTTGGACTTTATGAAAAAGAAAATAACATAAAAAGTTCTAAGCTATGATTATTATAGACATTTCAGAAATTTAAAATTATACTGTAGATTATAAAACATTTAATAATATATGATTTTTTTATTTTGCAATATAAAATAAGAATAGTATTAATTAAAATATTAAATCTTTTTTTTGATTATTTTATTTTTAAAGGTACTGAATAATTTCAATTAAAGCAATTTTTTGATTTATTGTAATATTTGAATTAGTGTGATTAGATGATTTATTAATCAATTATAATGAAAAAACTGGAAATTATAGATGTAAATTCTTTAATTAAAACAATTTAGCATTTCAATATATATCATAAATCATTCTGTAAATTGTAATAAAATGCTATATATTATAAATACCATAATGCCGTAATTTAATTTGACACTGTAATGTTATTTTTTAATTTAGTGCTATAATGCCATAAATATATATGCTGTAAATGAATAACTTTTTTTTTTAGGAAAAAAACTTTAATAAGAAGTTAATTATATTTGTTTTTAAAGTTAATATTAAAAAACTTTCCTTATCAGAAAGAACTATTCCTAAAAAAAAGTATATCATGAACTAATTAACTTCTTTTTCTTCTTTTTAGAAATATTTTCTTGTACTTTTCAAATTTTCTAAACCTTCTGATAAGTGAGGAAGAGTTTTTTAATATCTACTTTTAAGAAATAATATTAACTAACTTCATTTTTTTTAGAAATAGTTCTTGTGAACTTTTTGTACTTCCTAATAAATAGAAAAGGGTTTCAAACATTTACTTTAAAAAGCAATATTAAATTTGCTTTTCTTTTTTCTTTTTTTCCAATAAGCAGAAAAAATTTATTTTGATATTTAATGTAAAAAACAACACTAACTGTATTTTTCAATATATTTTTTGCAAAATCCAATTTAATAATATCACTTATTATTAGATTTACCGTATTCTTTCATTTTTAAGCACCATCCCGACTTTTGCCAAAAAAACTTGAAAAACAAAAATAAGCACCACCTCAAATTTGAAAATTTTTTTATATTTTATTCAAAATAAATTTTATTTTTATGATGCATCATTTTACAATTCATCTAATTCATCAGCTGAATTACTATCTATATCTACAATTTCCCTTTCATTTTCATCAATTTCCTCCTCTTTTTCATCTTGTCCAAACAAATCATTTTCTGACCCATCCATTACATTACAAATATGACTAAAAGTGCAAAAAAAAAGTGTAAAAAAAAAACTTCTGAATTTAAGCACCACCCTAAACTTTCACAAAAATTTTCTCCTAAAAAGGTGGTGCTTAAAAACGGAAGAATACAGTAAATAGTATGCTATATAACATATGTATAGATAAAATATAAACATCGGGAAATTTTTTGGGGAGCAGATCTGCGCAGATTTTCAGAAATTATATTTGCACAGATCTTATACCCTGACGCAAAACTAAAGCTCCGCATGAGCCGGTTTGAGCCGAGTCACAGTCTGGCTCGGCTCAGCTCGAAAAAAAAAATTCTGGCCTGAGCCAGAATAAGCCGAGCCATAAAAATTTCAGCTCAAGCTAAAGTGAGCCGAGCCGAGCCATGATTTTCATGGCTCGAGCCAAGCCA